TATACAGGAGACAGTGGGAACTTGCTCTCCACAGAAGACAGTGGGAACTTGCCCTCCACAGGAGACGGTGGGAACTTGCTCTCCACAGCAGACAATGGGAACTTGCTCTCCACAGGAGACAGTGGGAACTTGCTCTCCACAGGAGACGGTGGGAACTTGCTCTCCACAGGAGACATGGGGGACTTGCTCTCCACAGGAGATCGTGGGAACTTGGTCTCCACAGGAGACAGTGGCAACTTGCTCTCCACAGGAGACAGTGGGAACTTGCTCTCCACAGGAGACAGTGGGAACTCCCTCACCGGAGTTTGTGGGAACTTGCTCTCCACAGGAGACAGTGGCAACTTGCTCTCGACAGGAGACAGTGGGAACTCCCTCACCGGAGTTTGTGGGAACTTGCTCTCCACAGGAGACAGTGGCAACTTGCTCTCCACAGGAGACAGTGGGAATTTGCTCTCCACAGGAAACCGTGGGAACTCCCTCACCGGAGTTTGTGGGAACTTGCTCTCCAAAGGAGATCATGGGAACTTGCTCTCCACAGGTGATCGTGGGAACTTGCTCTCAACAGGAGACTGTGGGAACTTGCTCTCAACAGGAGACTGTGGGAACTTGCTCTCCACAGGAGACAGACGGAACTTGCTCTCCACAGGAGACAGTGAGATCTTGCACTCCACAGGAGACAGTGGGAACTTGCTTTCCACAGGAGACTGGGATCTCCCTCACCGGAGTTTGTTGAAAATTGCTCTAAACAGGAGATCGTGGGAACTTGCTCTCCACAGGAGACAGTGGGAACTTGCTCTCCACAGGAAACAGTGGGAGCTTGGTCTCCAAAGGAGACCGTGGGAACAACCTCTAGGAGAACGTGAGAACTCCCTCACCGGAGTTTGTGGGAACTTGCTCTCCACAGGAGACAGTGGGAACTTGCTCTCCACAGGAGACAGTGGGAACTTGCTCTCCACATGAGACAGACGGAACTTGCTCTCCACAGGAAACTGGGAACTTGGTCTCCACAGGAGACCGTGGGAACAACCTCTCTAGGAGACCCTGGGAACTCCCTCACCGGAGTTTGTGGGAACTTGATCTCCAAAGGAGATCGTGGGAACTTGCTCTCCACAGGAGACAGTCGGAACTTGTTCTCCACAGGAGACAGTCGGAACTTGCTCTCCACAGGAGACGGTGGGAACTTGCTCTCCATAGAAGACAGTGGGAACTTGGTCTCCACAGGAGACCATGGGAACTTGATCTCCACAGGAGATCGTGGGAACTTGCTCTTCACAGGAGACAGTGGGAACTTGCTCTCTACAGGAGACAGACGGAACTTGCTCTCCACAGGACACAATGGGAACTTGCTCTCCACAGGAGACAGTGAGAACTTGCTCTCCACAGGAGCGAGTGGGAACTCCCTCACCGGAGTTTGTAGGAAATTGCTCTCCACAGGAGACAGTGGGAACTTGATCTCCACAGGAGATCGTGGGAACTTGATCTCCACAGGAGATCGTGGGAACTTACTCTCCACAGGAGACAGTGGGAACTTGCTCTCCACAGGAGACAGTGGGAACTTGGTATCCACAGGAGACTGGGAACTCCCTCATCGGAGTTTGTGGGAACTTGCTCTCCAAAGGAGATCGTGAGAACTTGCTCTCCACAGGAGACAGTCGGAACTTGGTCTCCACAGGAGACTGGGAACTCCCTCATCGGAGTTTGTGGGTACTTGCTCTCCACAGGAGAGAGTGGGAACTTGATCTCCACAGGAGATCGTGGGAACTTGATCTCCACAGGAGATCGTGAGAACTTGCTCTCCAAAGGGAGACAGTGGGAACTTGATCTCCACAGGAGATCGTGGGAACTTGTTCTCCACAGGAGACAGTGGGAACTCCCTCACCGGAGATCATGGGAACTTGCTCTCCACAGGAGACCGTGGGTACAACCTCTGCAGGAGACCATGGGTAGTCTGCAGTGCCAAACCAGGTTTATTCTACTCACAACCTCGGGGAGGCTCACTTTGCTCACAATGTGAGCTCTTTATCCTTGTCATCCCCTCTCACACCCTGGGGGTTTGATGCTTTCCCGCCAATTCCTCCTCCTCCATGGGGGAGTTGGTGTTCCTCACCATTACCTTCTTCTCTATTCCCGGGAAGTTGGTATCCTGCCCCATCCTCATCGCCAGCTTCCAGTTTATGGTTGTTGGTTTCCTTCCTTCCTCTTTTACTTGCCACTCCTTGTGGGTGGTCTCCAGCATATCACCCTTGGGTGAGCAATTCACTTTGGTAACATAGCTACCATTGGGAATTCCAGAGTACTCCTTCGGGCACCGTGGTTTGGGGTTCCGCGGACGAAAGGTTTACCTTTTGGACGATTAGCCCCGGTCCGATCCCGTAGTCGCAGACCTCAACGCGGTGGATCGGTGAACATGAAATATAATACATAGTCAATTCTTAAAGAATTTAGGAAAGTTTCATTTCCCAATTCCTTAAGAATTAGGACGGTATTATTTCATGGCCAACGTGCGACTATAATATATATATATATATATATATATATATATATATATATATATATATATATATATATATATATATATATATATATATATATATATATATATATATATATATATATATATATATATATATATATATATATACAGGAATGTTCATGATTTCCTGAGTCCAGAATTTACAGTTTTAATTGTGTATGAAATATCTTGCTATGCCTTTATATGCTAAGGATATGATTTAAGGTCTGTAAAACATATATGTTCAGAAAAGATATGGTTCAAATTTGCTTTATAGGTCGACAAAATTTCTTCAAACCAAAATTTGGCTCAGGTCTTGACTTTTTTTCAGATTATGCTACAACTTTGGCTCAAGGGTCAAGAAATTCAACCAAGGTAGAATCAAGCTGGCAATTTGGTGACGGGTTTGTAGTGAATTTATGGGATGCATAATGTATGAAGAAACGTCGGTACAAGAGAAAGTTGGCAGTTATACAGTAAAATGTAAGTTCAATGATTCTTTATATGTTCATATTTTTATTTAAAATTTAAATTCTGTTTAAATATTATACCAAACTTTAAGAGTGGTGGTGACCTTCAGGGTTTGGGGGGACCCTGAACAAGAGGGCCCCTCACAAGTTAGGAAATTTATGAGACATTTTCACTTAACTATCTATATATATATATATATATATATATATATATATATATATATATATATATATATATATATATATATATATATATATATATATATATATATATATATATATATATATATATATATATATATGTGTGTGTGTGTGTGTGTGTGTAATAGTAAAGATGTAATAAAACAAGCATATAATTAATGTTATTACCAGTACACTTTAAATAATCATTAATAATAATTGCTATTCAGTCAATTTGACCAAGGAGAGCTGACAAAACCATAAGCGGCTTGTTTCCAGTAGTCCTTATGCAACCATTACCTTGGAACACGATCTGTAAATCAATTAACATTATGTTCCTAATTACTGTTGGGTAGACAGGCAAATGGCATAAAGAATCTTGCCATACTTTCACCCTGCCCGGGAATCGAACCAGGGTTCATTTGCTTGCTAGGTAAGCAGGCTGACCTTTGCACCACAGGTCAGATGCCATGACTAACAAAAAGGCTGTCTTTCAAATGTTATGCCAGATGTATTTCATGATACAAGGGTAAAAAAATTTTAAATCAAAATTACTGAAAAATGTTGGTACTGTACTACAGTATAATTATTAAAAGTAAATTCTCAAGTAACATCTACAGTACAATACATTATTTAAATATACCTTTTCGAACTTTCTTGAAGTCAAAGTCAATGGCCATATCACTAATCTAAATATGCCAATTTTATGTTCTATAGAAATTAATGTTAATCCTTTTAGTGTATCTTGTGACATAGAGCATGGATAGTCTTTCTCATGTTCAGCTTTGAAAATGATGACATCAGATGCAACAGTTACACGTGGAGTGAGAATAATGCCAAGTACTACACATTAATTTGAGTAAATATCTTGAATGTTACTTGTGAATAAATTGAAGAGTTGACAAAGCGGTGCATTTTTCACGGGGTTTATATAAGATAAAAGAAACTTTTGATATCAGCATTCGATAGAATCAGTCTCCTCCCTCGGGATTTTAGACTCCCTTTTGTATCCACTTTCCACGGCCATTGTCACTCCTTTTGCTAAAAGGTTTAACATATATGAATCTATGCTTGTCCTTAAACTGCCCCAGTTGTTTAAATCTGTCATTTAGGTGATCAGTTGTGTCATCTACCATAAAATTAATGAATACGATGTAAAATTTGCCTTTTGGGTCAAGTATGGAGTCATTTGACACTTCATCCAAAGAAAACAAAAACAGAACTTTCTCTCTTATTGGTCCAATTTGAGAGAAAGCTTACTCTCTTATAAGTATCTGGGACATAAAAAGTGACGGATGAGCTACACCCATGGTATACTTAGACGGTTTCTCAAAAATGTATGTGTAAAATACATGTAAATGAATATGTAAGACGCATCTGACTGGGTGGCATAATGTGGTATGAATATTATATAGGAGAATGCGTTACTCCATGCTTCAACGCTAGTTAGGGAACGAACACAGCACATTTGTGAATATATAACATCATCATTACTATGTCTAGCCCATCCGGAAATGTTAGCAAATACTTTTACAGAGTGTAGGGAAAAGCTAAAATAGAATGAGGAAAGAAGAGAACGCCCGCATAATATAACTTTGCGGGAGTCACTTACTGTCATTCTTGCTCCTATATATTGTCATTCGTAGTATTACTGTAAGGTTTAATTAACATTTACTTCGGCAAGCTGTACTCAGGTGTACATTGATGCGAACTATCTTTTAGTAATGAAGTGGTGATTGTCGTTAGTCGACACTGCTCTGGATTGTTTCGTGGAAAAATACTATGTGGCAACTAGCCGTAACTCCAGGAGAGATGTGGAGATCGAGTTTAGTCGAGTGTCGGGCGTCAAGACGGCAGGGAGCACTGTTATACTGGTGGTGCGCGCTTTGCTGTGAGACCAGTGCTCTATATTGCTAAGACTTATCGCGGGCATTGCTAGTAATAAAAATTTCAGTGGACTTTTATAGTGTTAAGAAATTTGCTTTTCATTCACTCGGTAGTTCATTTTACCGTTAGATAACGCCTACCACAAAAGTAAGTGATTACATGATACTAATCCGGTGTGTATATATATATATACTAACAAAGAGTGACAAGTGATAATCAGAAGGCCTATTCAGATCAATCTTAATCGAGAGTGAAGGAATCATGAGTGTATTACTGGCAATAAAACGTAGTGGAGCAAGTGGGGTTGAGGCAGCACTACCAACGCCACTACTGATGTGCGCCAGGAAGTGAGGAATTGAGACAATGATGGGGACACCTCCTACGCCGCCACTGACACCCTGATATCACTTTAAGGAGCCATGACAACACTTAGAGACCGCTAGTGGTACACCTATAACGCTAAGGAAATCTGGCAACACACAAAGACCGCCAGTGGCGCCGTGGTAACGCTGAGGATCGTTAGCGACACCATAACTATTTTAAGATTTATAAGTGAATGGTGCTGACACCACTTAAAAACAAATAAGACTATTCTTTTAAGGTCTCACACTAACTAGACCCTGGTGATATACTGAAGAATTTAAACAAACTATCACTCAGAGAAGACATCGACCAGATACGTTAAAGAAGCCCAGTTTACAACACTCGAGCATCAAAATGATTCTCAGTAGAGATCTTCAGGAGATCCTGGAAGGTAAGATAAATCTGATCTGTCTTGGTTGGTGGTAATGATCGTTACTCCCGATAGGTCGCGAGAGTGGACAGGTTAAGTGTCGTTTGTATCACAATGCAGCTCGGCAATATTACTAGAGCAAAAAACTGCATACTCGTCATTTATATTCCCCACATCAATCTCTAGAGCCGCTGTGTTTTGGAGGTTAAAGAGGTCAACGCTTCAGGTCACAAATAAAGGCAGCACCTGGCATGAGTTGCTCGATTAATTGTAGATTAATCGTATCGAGTAATTTTTTTCCTCTTCAAAATGTTGTCAACTTGGAAGAACTGAAGTTGATGACAAAGAACTTGACATAGCTTTCGTTAAATAAACACATTATTGGAAATTGAAACATGACAGATGCTGTACGTAACGTAACAAATGAACTAGGCTTCTTGTTTTGCAATAAACTTCCAAAAATTTTGATTCTACACAAGACATCGTTTTGAGGAACATGTTATTTGGTACATTGGTTATAATACATAGGAAGAGTGAGATGTCTTCTTTGGGTGATGAAAATAGACTTCACCTGATCGATGTGTACCGAGTTTGTTTACTTCTTGTTATGGATGAAGGTGATTCTCCGCGTGTTTTCATTAATGGTAAGATTGTTTTAAGAGATCAAATATATACCCCCCCTACTTTTCTCTTTCCCGCAAATCCTCCCTTCTCCACTCTCCTTCCCTACCCTCCTTCCTTCCCCCGTACCCTCCTTCCTTCCCCCGTACCCTCCTTCCTTCCCCCCCTCCTTCCTTCCCCCTTCCTTCCCCCTACCCTCCTTCCCCCTACCTCCTTCCCCCCCTACCTCCTTCCCCCCTACCCTCCTTCCCCCTACCCTCCTTCCCCCCCATATTTGTTCCCCTTTCTCTCCTCACACTAAGTGGCGCTTCAATCAAGATGGCTTCCCACGAACCGCCATGAAGATAAATTTGTGAAACGTCAACAGTAAATGTCTAGTTAAAGAGTCATGGTGGTGTCTATAAAATCCTTTGATATGTGTGTTTACAGAATACCTTAAGTTACACCTCCAAGTGTCGGTACATACTTTTATCATTTCCTGCATATGTTGGCTTCTTTCATCTTGTACTGTGGTCCGGGCTTGATTAGTATTTATCGATGTTTTGCAAACGATTCTTCTCCAAGGGACTGTCAACACAAACAACAAGGAACTTTGTGAACAATGTATTGTTATCTAAACAGTCTTTAAAGAATTTCGCTAAAATAATCTGATTATTAATGACATAATCGGTATAGACTTAAAGTTGTCCATGTTAAACCTGACATAAGTATCACTATCATAGATTCCCGTATACAGTACTGTACTCTTAACACCAGTCTAACAAGGTTAGACATTTTCATCTTAGGTGTGTTAATTAAGTTATATTTTTAATCAAGCCTAAGCTTAACCTAAACGATTTAACTTAACCTTATTAAACCGAACCAAACTTCCTAATTCAACATTGTCCTTCGTGTATCCACGGAGCTCTCACTACTCTGCCTCGTCTCTATTCATACTGACTCGCCTCAACTTCATGTCAGTGACTCAAGTTTATTTCAGTAACCCTCCACTTGTGAATTTAGAAACTGACCGCATTGCTTAACTGCTGCCTGACATATTTTAAATCTCTTACAGAGCAGACGAAGCAGATACCGTGAAAAATATTTAGCAGAATTACTGGCGTTGGATTTTAAATCTGTTTTCCAGATTATAGGCTGCTTAATCTCAGCATTAGAATGTCTTAGCTATTCTTAGTTAAATATAAATTTATGGCGTGGATGAGGCTGTGTCCGGGATCCTGTTACGAAGGTTTCTGGCGTCCCGAAGGTTGACAAGTTTTAAAGATTGGCTGTTGGGGTTAATGTCATGGATGACCCATCCCATGTCTACTGTTTCTACAATGCAGAAAAAAAAAACATTCAAATCTCACCCGCAGCGGGACCGAGTGAAAAATCGTCACCTGTATTACAGAAGGGATAGCTTTTCAGAGTTATTGGGCCTCCATAGTACGTGTAGCATATAATTTTGACTATTTCGGGGTGGGTGCTTCCATCTCCGCGGTACATGACCGTTTTCACGACTAATACCGAATATGAGGGACTCAGACCTGGACTGTACAGTCACTCCTGAGGCTGTAGTAGATGACGCAAGGTTGTATTATCTGAAACCTGGGAGTCAGCAAGTCTGGAAACACAAGCCCGTCGCCGCGCCTCCCTGACCTGTCTCATCCAAAGCCAAGATTCTCAGGTTCGTGATTATACTAAACATTTCCTCTAACTGAAAACAATAATATATATATATATATATATATATATATATTTATTTATTTATTTATTTATTTATTTATTTGATCCGCATTGTAGTTTCTACTCTAACTTTGGTACATTTATTTGTGTCGTTGCTGGGGTTGGATTCACGGAGGTTAAGATAAAGTACAAAATAGCATCAACTACACCGATTACGTTAACGAAAAACGTTCATTCAGCACTACTCGGGAGGTAAGGGGGAACTTATATACCGATATATAAAATGTACAGTATATAGAGATTTTGTATTCATAAAAGCGTAACTTTGTTTTGTAACCGTATTTTACGTTTTCCACGAGAATCCATCGAGACCCAGAAATATGCCAAGCAAAGAGGCTTTTACTATACTGTACACCAACACTCCAGTACCATCACGGACGTCTTGGCCGAGACGTTTCATCGCCTAACCATCCAGAATGTAATCTCGGCTGGTGGTGATATGTCAGTTTACCTTAAATTGGCCATATGGTTCACAGTGCCGGGTTGTGAAGAACTCTGTGGGAACTTTCAAATTAAGTGAAATGGGGAATCATATTTGCTAGGAACACCGAAGGCGAGTCAAAGTACCTACAGTACTGCACTTTAACAGGTGAGCTCTTCACCAGGAATGGGCACAACATATATTGGTTGCAGTTTAAGGACAAGGGTTTTACCTAACCAGACCAAACTCAACAGGTTAGACCTCAGAAAAAAGTTATTGGGTAAATATCAAAAGTTCTTGTAATAATGAAAATTTTTGACACGTTCTCCGTCTTGAATTTACCGGGGAAAAAACAGTTACACAACTTCAACCCTGCGAGTGAACCCTTTACGAACTCCACTGTATAATTAGCTCAACCTTCCCCTGCTACGCTACTGAGAGCTGTCACTCGGCTATCGAAACTGGGCCAAATCTAGCCAGGAAGCCGCGCGCGCTGGTGGGCCTTCATTTCTGCCTCGGAAGTTGGTTACCTCGTTAGGTTAAGTTAGGATAGACTAGGTTAAGTACATTGGGTTAAGTGTGTTGGTTCAAGTAAGGTCAAATACGGTTTGTTAAAGGTTAGGTAGCGTAGGGTTGATTAATTAGTTTTAGTTAGGGAGAGTGACATAGGTTCAGAGGATTAGGTTAAACATGTTGGGTTAGGTTTAGTAGGCTTGTTACGAGACGTTCAGTGTTGTTTATAACAATAATATTCAAGGTTGAAGGTCGTGGGCCTTCTGTGTGCCCTTATTACTGTCTTAATTATAAATAATGCTCTCAGTCAGTGGTGCGGAACAGTGACCCAGGAAATAATATAATTGGACCCTCAGCATTATTTTCTCCTGTACTAATTTTAAAGGACTTCATTTAGGTTTGAGTTTACTGTATCCCGCAATGTTAGAAGACTCATGGACGATAATAATTACCTGGAATATTAGAATAATTACCTATAATAAAAGGAACTTTGTTCATATCCTTTCTTTGGTATGATATTTATTACAGGTTTATCTTCCTGCGGTTCATTAATTCACAGGTCTTACGTCACTTAACCTTTGGACCACTGAACCGTCTGAATATAGAACCATAATCGATGTTATAGGAAAAAATTCCTTTTATCCCAGGGTTCGTCAAGACGACAACTTGAGTGTGAGGTTTCTGATTCATATGATTGTTAAAATGTAATGTACGTTTCCCTTATTTTTATTTTGTTTGCGTCATCGTCAAGTCTGTTAGTCATTTCCTTTGTCTCTGACGTCTTTACGATGCGCTATATGTATTCAGGCCTTTGTGACGCTTAAAGACGAGCATTGTGGTGCTTACTCGTCTTTTTGCGTAATTAAGGTTGAGTTCTAAGTGGAAGCGTGAGTAACTGTTGGACGGGCTCGCCTCCAACCCCGCCATGTACAGTACCCATCAGTTGTTCCTATATTTTGTATTTACACAAGAAGTGGACTAAATTTTAAACGTGAAAATTTCGAAACTGTATTGACACTGCATCAGCTCAATTCCCGCTTTTCCAGAACAAATTGGTAGGCCTTTAAATAGTGGTAAGTTTAAGGTAGCCAGTGAACGATTCTTGGCTCACTTTTGTCTTATCTACTTGTTAACCAATCAAGATGACAGAAAATCAATCGCGACAAAGTTTAAAGGTCGAGGGTCCACGGGATGAGTGAGAGTACGACAGTATAGAGGTAACATGACCGTCAGGTTGGGAAGTAAATCTTGTGGTCGTGCTGGAGGAGACATGAATATAGAGTAGTTATTGTACATTACCCCGCACATAAAACTGAAATGCTAAGTAAAATCCGTTTGGGGCGTTGATTCTAATGTCATCACGATAGGAGAGGAAATGTGTAAAAACGCTTGTAGGAGATTTCATAATGAAATAATATTATAATGCTTAAATTGTGTGGCCATTTTGGTCTCATGAAGTAATTCGTGTAGCGACTGTTATCAGGATAGGATGAAGTACAGTACTGTGCCATACTCGGGGAGGCAAAGTACAGGATGTCTATTGTGTGTTTCCTCGGCTGGGGGTGTAATGGGAGTTGTGATTTTAACTTGTTTACATAGATAATACTTGGCACTGACGTGTTTTTTTATGTTGCATAGTTCATAATGCGTAGCTGCGTTCCCTAACTATACACCAGTAGAAGTCTTATATTAAAAGTAACGACCCTGTTGTGTGAGGAATTGGGATAAAAAGTTGAGCAGAGTTTTTAAACCAATTAAGCATATACAAAAGTGGAGGCAGCGAGGAAGGAGCAGTCAGACCTCGTACACAGTTTAACGTCGGGAATTAAACGTCTTTGGATGGAATTTCATCTGGGCTTTGACCTTGAGACTAGCAATACAATAGTGAAACGGGTATTAACTGGCAGATACAAAGGAGTACCCAAGGCTTGACGTCTGGATTAAGTCTTTAGATTTTAGTCACTGACGAACGCGAGGCTAAAGTAAGGCAGCTAGATTTTTGCATTCCTGATAGTAAAAAAAGATAGCTACTTATTTTGCTGAACAGATGAATTTTTATTGATAAGCAAATTCAAATCGTAGTTGCTGGTTGGTTACAGGGACATGGAATTGCTCAAAAGAACATTAAACCCAACTGTTACGTCTTAGGCACTGGGCAGTATTGCGTGGGAATAGTGTTGCCTCACTATGTTAGGATTCACCCCTGATGGTGTTGGTGATGTTGTGGCTGTGAATTGCTCTTAACTCACCACCAGGCAGTGGGATCGTTAACGGGTTCCCTACCCGCATAACTCCCGAGTATAGTCAAGTTTATTTCATTTGATGGTTGTGTTATGGCGATACGGGTGTGTGGAGGGCTGTATGGATACCCTTCTTGACCGGGGACATGTAACTAGCCATCTCACTGTTGTTCACATATTCGTCTATTTGCTTAAATCAATCTCACATTCACGGCGAGATGCCATAAGTAAAACCTTAAAAAATACGTTCACAGGACCCAGATACAACGCACCTCAGTAAGCAAGTTATATCCTACAGGTGTACCCTACTCGGTGGTTCTTACACACACACAGTCCCACAGTCGCTAATACTTCTAGGTCATCGTTCACAAAATCATGGGAACACCGTATGCATGAATCACCTTAGCGAGATCTGGTATGTCCGCACTTACGTCACAGGCAGGCATGTGTGGTGTGTACAAGTGTTCGCGAAGATCATGCAGGTGCGTGGTGCTGCATGTGTAGTCAACAAGTGTTCCACTAGATGTAAATTGTGAGTCAGTACCGTTGAAACTTGTTGTGGTTGTACTGTTGTGTTTCATTTTGCTGCGGTTTTGGTGTTTTCCCATTAACTCCTAACTCCAGTAATATCGTAATGCTTTCCCCAATGTTTCCTAATTCGAGTATCATCTTAGCACTTTTCCCACTGTATCTCTAGTTTATCCTAGTTCCTTCTCCAGTTCGTATCAAGTATTAACCAAACACTTAATGCGTCTTAAGGACATGGAATAAGTTATTATACATCATTAAGTTTGTCGTGTACATTGGGTTCGTCAGTAAAGATCGTAGAACTGTAAATTTTGATTTTAATTTGTTAACAAGAGTAAAACGAAGATGATGTATCCACCCAGCTATTGATCATTACATAACAATGGACCTTAACTCATTCAGGCGGAACCACCTTGGCAGATGCACGTCGTCCGTCAGTGTCTATACCATCCGTGCTGAGTCGTGAAATCTCTTTGAAAACTGACAAA